AGTTGGCCGACTTGGAGCGAGCCCAGAGACTAATGAAAACAGTAAATGAATCAGGAAATAGGAGGTGGGAAGAAAGGGCAAAGGAACTGTGATAGGAGGGCGATAGGCTTCTTTATTTTTGTCGTTGTTACTACCAGGGAATAAACTTAAACTTTAGCAAGAAGGATTCAATTAAGGACTTCTGTAATCTAATGGTAAAAAGAGAAATACTCTCTTTGGGGAAGTCATATAGATTTCTGTAGATTCTTTCTGGAATGATTTAGGTGGTGTGATTCTGTATTAAATGGGTTTTCTTTTGAGGGGCATATTTAACGTCTCTATGAGATAAGCACCTATCTGACGATGAGCTCTAGTCGGGATTGTCTTTCTATGGATTCAGAATGGAAATAGGGTTTTCCTACATCTTTTGAAGTTTCCACTTGACGGAACAGATACCCACTTAACTTCTCCAAAATTGGACCTGCCATTGCTCATGTGCCCTCATACCTTGCATTCATTACCTTTGCCTCTTGTGGGGTGTGTGTGTGTTTATGGGTATAGTTTTGCCTCTGCCCAGTGAGAGAAATTTTTCATGGGTGGGCACATAATTCACTTGACTCTAACACTCATTTAATGATGGGCCAATCTCTCTTTAAATCGTTCGGAAGTATCCAGAGCCCTGCTGTGCCGCAGGTCATCTTCAACTATATTGCTTATTGCTGAATGATGTTGCTGGGCTGCTGAGTGACATAGGACCCATCTGAGCAAACGATGAGACTCTGCAGACATTTTCTGAGGCAAAGGTAACACAGGCTAAAAACAGTCACATGTCACTCATCATTTCCTCATCAGGAAGGAATGAACAGGAAGTCGGGGTAGGAAAACAAGGCTTCAGAGATTAGAGGCAGAGCTGGGGGAGGAGAGGGCAGTGAGCTGTGGCAGCTTGGGCAGAAGGAGACTTTCGTCTTTTTTCCCAGCGTGGGCTGGAATTGCCAGGTAAAAGGGCCAGCATTGCCTGGTGTTTGCCCTCAGTGTGTGAGTGTGTTGCTGGCTGATGTCATTGCCCCGCAGATGCCCCAGTTAGGAGAGCAGGCTTCTCCTGTGACTGCTCTTAGCTCCTGGGGCAGCAACTCCTCCAGCAGGGGGCAAGCAAAGCAAGGAGGGCTGGAGTGGGGGTCACACAGGTCAGTCCCTCCTGCTCATCTAGGCTGCCCCCCTTGGGCAGGGAGAGATAACAGCACCAGTCCTTGGGAGACCACACCTTCTTAGCAGTGGAGAGGAGCACAGATTCTGAGATAAGGCAGATTGGCCCTTGGATCCTGGCTTTGCCTCTCACTCATCATGTCACTTAACTTTTTGGGGGCTTGGTCTCCTCATCTTTCAAATGGGAATAAAGTTTAGCAAGGTGGTTGGGTACAAGATCAAGGTACAGAAATCAATACTTTTTTATGTACCACCTTTAAGTAATCACAGAATACGACAGAAAACGGGTTCTAATTCTGAACATAAAAACTCAGAGATACTTAGATATACCTAACAGCAACAGAATGCACAAGAATAACCAGAAGACATTGAAAACCGACAAGCAGTGAGTAGGACCTGCTATAGCAGAATCCAACATGGGTTAGGATGTAAAGCTCTAGTAATTACAACTGATTGTGATATCTTGTGTGATTAACAAGATATCAATGGAACAGAAGAGAAGAATGTGTAAATTCAGTGTGTAATAAAGTGGGTATTTCCATGAGGGAGAAATAAGATGTTTGTTCTTATGTAGTAGAAATGTACGAAAATGAAAATAACAATCACCCAACTCTCATTCCTCAGAATGAGTCACTATTAATATTTTGACCTATTAGCTTTCATCCTTTGGTCCATGCTAACGTCTTTTAATATTGACATGTCACAAACATGATCAATAAATACAATGTCCTTTAAAAATAATACAGAGCTCACATTCTTGCCAAGATGACCAACCAGCTGCTGTTGCTATCTGCCTCCTGCAGGATAAATGTCAAGAAATTGCAGAAACACGTGGAAGGCATGGAAACTAGGGATCATCAATGAGGACCATGAAAATGAAGCTACCCAGGGGAGCTCAAAGTTGTTTTGAGCTGACGCGTGTTGGGGCAAGTAAAGCCAGAACCTGGAGCTAAGGCTGAGATAGCAGTATGTATGGGAAGGGGGTGGTCTAGAGGATGGGTCTTAAGCTTGGTCCTCGCCTTTTCTTTACCCCTTACTGGAAAAATCTGAGTAGTGGCCCAGCCACCAGGGCCCTCACCTGTGTTTTAAGGTAATGCAAATCGACTTCACAGGTAGATTTACCAGATTTTTTTTATTTTTTTAAGAGACAGAGTCTCACTTTATCATCCTTGGTAGAGTGCCATGGCATCACAGCTCACAGCAACTTCCAACTCCTGGGCTTAGGCAATTCTCTTGGCCTTCTGAGTAGCTGGGACTACAGGTGCCTACTACAACACCCGGCTGGTTATTTTGTTTTGTTTTGTTTGGCCGGAGCTGGGTTTGAACCCACCACCTCCGGCATATAGGGCTGGCACCCTACTCCTTTGAGCCACAGGCACCACCCACCGGCTATTTTTTTGTTGCGGTTTGGCTGGAGCCGGGTTTGAACCTGCCACCCTCGGTATATGGGGCCGGCACCCTACCCACTGAGCCACAGGTGCCACCCAGAGTTACCTGATTTAATAAATAAAACTGCAGGATGTGCAGTTCAGACTGAATTTCACATAAACAACAAATAATTTTTTGGTATAAGCATGTTCTGTGCAATATTTGGGATATACTTACACTATAATTTTTTTTTGCTGTTCATCTGAAATTCAGATCTAACCAAACATCTACGTAAACCTATTCCTAGGTAACTGGGACAGCAATGCCTGTTCTACATATCAAGCCAGCTAGCAACCAGTTGGCTGCTCAGAACTGGGCTTACATCTAATCCCTACTCAAAGGCCACAAGGGAGGCCTGCAGGTTGCCTGCAGGTCGCCTGCAGTCCTAGAGATGTTCACCTGGGGAGAAGAGCCTGAAACTGGGCCTGGCACTTGGGGAAGTTGTTCTAGCAGCTCCAGGGCTTTGTATAACATGGCAGTTTCTGAGCTTTGCTTCCACTATAGCCTTGACCTCAAACCACAGGCTGCAATGACAGAAAGGAAGGGAAGTTACTAAGCCCCCAGCTCTAAGGCTAATGGCCTTCTCAGCAGTAGGACTCTTTCCCCTCTGTGGACAACCATGCAAAGGGTAGACTCCCATGTGAGAAGGGACCCAAGCAAGAGGGTCTCTACTGAGACTTCAAATGAACAAAATATGATGATAGCTGAAGTGATTGCGATTGATCTTGTGGACTTTTTCTTGCTTTGCCTTTCTCTGTGTACAGATAAGATCTGGGGTGGAACGTCTGATTGTGAGATCTGAGAATAAACTTCTATAAACATGAATGAAAAGCTAGAGAGTCTGTCGCTGTCTAAATGAGTCAAAAACGATAACTCTGACATTTATATCTGAAAGATTTGAATGATCCTCCGTCACCTATTTTTATTTGTCAAAATTTGCATGTTTAAAGTTAAAACAGTTTTTTGACCAAAAAACAGAAGTTTACAGTTGCAACAGTTTTTGACATTGTGCGAAACTCCCTCAGGTACAACCATCTCCATGCTAATCTGTGTCACCTGTCAACATGGGCCATCTCATTGCTGTCCATAATCTCTAACCATACTGTTTTGAGATTTTATTAATTTATGTTATTGACTTTTATGGGCAGCTTCATTTTTTCAGGGTTGCTGAGGTATACGGTACTGGCAAATCTACTGTTTTAGGTGTACAGGTGTACAAAGTATAACCAGCCTTTCCCAAGAGAAGTTCTTTAGTTGAACCCACATATCTCTGGTTGTGTCAAAGCCATCCCAACACACGTAGCACCAGGTGGCTATCAGTCTACACATTGAGACCGAAGGGTACTCCTTCACAGTATCAATTAGTTTGAGAGATCAGAAGTTGTGTCAAAGCAACCAGTTTGTGGCAAGTCTTCATAACCACAAAGATGGGTAGAGCACATGGCCTTCTGAGCAAGTGCTTCTGTTTGGAGGATCAGTGGAGAGTTTCCTTGGGGAGTAAAAGAGGGGCTTTCTGAGGGAATCTCAGAGACCAGGATAGAGGGCAAGCTGCCAAATGATGGGGCTAAAAACCAAACAACAGGTATCAGATTATTTTGCTGTTTCAGATTCTAGGACCTGGCTTTCATTTTTTGTCCTAGTGCTTTAAAGAGACTTTATTTGGGGAAAAAGTCCTGAGTGGTGAAGGCTGAGTAGTTGTTGATGAGCATCTACCCACAGGATCTTGTGGAATTTTGTCATGGCACATGATAGAGTAGGGTGTGAAGCACAGTGACTTGTTGGTGGGGACAAGGTGGTTCCCCAACAATGAAGATCAGTTTCTAAGTCAATGCATGGTCAACAGTACAATCTAACAAAATGTTCAGATTCTATATTTGCTTTATTCAACAGAACAAAAGAAAGCAAAGAGAGCAGAGCAGAGCCATGCAGGGATACAGACTATACATCAGGGAGCTGTGTCACACAACATGCAGGGACACTGCAGGGGAAGATCAGACAACTTATTGTCAGATGGAGAACTCCTGAGTGTAGCTCTCATGGGCAGGACAGTGAGAAATCAAAGGGAAGACTCCCATCCACGCCAGGACCCAGACTGAGTTTCAGTTCATAGGGTACATGTGCCATTTTCTTCTTAGAATGATGGCAGATTCCTACATCTGGTAACGAAATGAGGACATCAAAAAACAATGACTGTTGACCTTCTGGTGGTGAGCAGGGGAAACTCAGGGGGGCAGGCACAGACAGAGAGGACAAATGTGGGCACTCAGCATCCATCCTCAGCTCGAAGTCACCGAGCAGGCGAGACCAGAGGCCAGGAGAGGGCAAGCAATGTGAGGAGGGGACTCTGCAGCCTGAGAGGGGCCCGAGGCTGGTGGGGCAGGAGCAGGACTTCAGTGCTTGTAGCTCTTCCTGCTGGAGGAGGTGGTGGTATATTTGATGGAGGAACTGCTGCCTCCCACGGAGCTGAGGCCACCCCCCAGGCCTCTGCCACTGCTGGAACTGAAGCCACCTCCAACGC